GGGGGGGGCAAACGAGGCAAGTGTGGGTGCTTCACCTTTCTCACCCATATTTTGATGCAATGGCTCCAATGTTCAAAACTTTTATAACATCTTATTCAAACACTGTTTAACCTTTCACACCATCACTGTGAATTTCAGCTAAATCAGACTCATGAATCTCTAACTAGAATAATCACTGTGAAAAACCATATCATGTTGCTGCTGATCTGTTTCATGTTGCTGCTGATCTGTTTCAATGTTGATGTGTTCATGCGTGCACATCTGCTCACAGACTCATGTTCATGTTTGTGCTGATGTTCAATGTTTTATGTTATGAGTGCTTAGTGTATATTTAGTTGATGTTTTTCTTAGTTCATATCTTAGATGTCATTACTGTTTTTCTTATACATTTTATTGTTGGATGTAACTGGGACCCTGCGTACATAATTTCGCTCCACCACATGTACCACATGAGGTGCGAATGACAATAAAGTAACTCTGACTCTGACTAAATCTAATTTTTTTTATTAAGAAAAATCCTGTCTGATGTGACTTCTAAGTGTTTCTACAATCTGCTGTTAGGGCTATTTACTCTAATAAATCACACAATTCTGTGCAAATAGTCATATATTGAGAAACTCAAGGCCGTGTAAAGGTTTATAAAATATAATTTGCATTAAACACTAAGTAAGTCTGAAGATTTAAGTTGTTTTAAGATGGTGATAATCCACTGTTCTTAGCTGCATTGAAAATCAGCCCACCAGTCCTGTAACCTTCCTTCAAATTCTGTTGAAAAAGCCATCTCTAACAGGTAAGATGTTATTTTCTTATAATGTTCATGCAGAAATCCATTTTAAAGTGACGGTAAAATAAACCGTGTGTCCTGGCAGAGGTCAGCTGTTGTCACTGTGAGGACTCCCTCACGTCACGTTTCGTTACACCGTCAGGGCTCCCTAACATCACAGTGAATAATAAGAAACATGATCTGTGGACCCCCCACAGAGTTCAAGTGTCTGGACAGCATGTGTGATGTGAAAGTGTCAATGAGACGCACGAGGCGAGCAGCAAAATTACAACTTTGACAGTTTTATTTGTGAAAAACTACAAGCAAAATTCATAAATAGACATTTCTATTTGAAGCGGAGGGAAATGGTCAGGTTAGCCTATAAGCGTAAAGTCGTGCACATGCCGGAAACATGTTAGTTGAACACCATTAGTTAGACGAGGCGCAGTGATCTGCTGAAAACGCTGCGTTCACTTCCACACCAGGGAACAGAAAGTGACCATTTCACAAGGGGAAACAAGGACACGTCAGCCATAAGGAAGAAAAACAAAAGAAAAAACAACTTAAAACTGGAACAAACAAAAAAAATGGAATTTTGTACTGTCCCTACAATTTTCGTCATATTTTTTTGAAACCGAGCAATAACTTTTAAAAGCATTGTACAAGACATCGTTATAGGAAGAAATGACTTTTGCAATACACTTAATTGGAAGTTCACGTTTAAGGATATACAGTAAGTAAACAAGCATTCTATATTTGGGTCTCTGGACAAAGCTAAAGTATGTAACCATCTTTACACAGTAAATTAGGGTTACTGGTCGCACACAAGAACAGAACTGCTTGCGCGGGAGGGAAGCGGAACAAAAGAAAAAACAGAAAAATCAGCTCCATTATTCATAGTGTTTGCTTAAAACTATTTACAGGCAATCATTCATATTTTCAGCAAACGGCCACCCGTTAATAATTTAATGATTCTCTTGTCGTGTGATGTGGTTACAGCTAAAGCAGGAGGAGATGATGGCTTATCAGGCCCGGTTCTGACAAAACTGCAGTTTTATTCTCTCTGAAAACTGGGCACAACTTTCGGCCCCCCCCCCCCCTCCCCCACACAGCAGTCCCATGTTGTTAGTCTACTCAAATTGTCTTCCCCCCCCCCACGCCAATGATTTCATATGTGTATTCATACACGTATATTTAACCACAGTTCAAAGGCAGAAAATAATCCTAATCCCTCCTGGACTTGAAGCGTTGCTTACACCATTATCATCCCTACGTGTGAAAGTGAGACATGGATTAAATCCTGCCCCTCGGATCCTGGGGGGGGGGGGGGGGTTGGCCTCACCGAACGTGGCTCTGGTTTTTCTGGGAGCAGTTCAGTTGGTGAAGCGGGGATTCTTTGGGGGGTAGTTCCTGTGATAGTTGAGCAGTGTGAAGGTTTGTCTTTTAGTTTTAGACACCCCCCACCACCACCACCACCTTCACCAAGTGTTTCCTTGGACTCCGCTCACAGCACGACTTGGCGAGTGTACAATAAGAACACCATCTACATGGAGATTATATTAGTCTTTATTTAAACTGTTATTCATCTCACACATTAGATAATTTGCATTTCAAATTGTTATTCATCTGTTTATGTATTCTGTCATTATGAAACTCCTTTGGTCCTTCAATAAATAAAACTAAGATATCATATACACATTTATTCTTTATACAGTTTCATACAGTTAAAGGAAATTCTGTTGGTCTAAGGTAAAAGTTACTTAAAACCCTTACGTTAGGCCTTGCTGCTATAAAATTTAAAGGACAGCTGTATTCTCGTAGGTACTTTACTCTTTTGCCTTCAATATCAGGAGTCTTCAATTGTCACAATCCAATTGTCAGCCTTTGTAAATTATTCATTTTCTTGCATGCGTTTTCAGTGGAGAGGAGGATGAAGATTCAACGTCGTCTTCAGGACCACAACAAATGAAAAGTGAAACGATTCACAACGTTTGGACTCTACAGGGTTCGTTTCACAGAACTGATCGGTGTGAACAAGTGGAACTGGATCCTTCAGTCACACGAAAAACTAAATAAACTGTGGCTCGACAGCCGAGTCGAACGCTCTACCTGCGGCCAGAAAACTCAACACTGAAGCGTGGAATGTAAAAAATAAAAATTATCAACAGCTTTTAGTGTTTTACACAACAGCCTACACTGTACAGTAAAGAACGCAGGATACTGTACAACCTGCTAAAGCGTGAGAAATCAAAGTCAACCCAAGCGTCTGAGCCATCAAGGCTGGTTCCTCTGATGAGCGCCGACCAGACAGAAAAACAGGAGGACCTGCTGGAGGTCTCCACAGTGTTGCTGAGAAAAGTGAAGGAGAATTTGATTCATCTGCACTTCGTCACATTGAGCCAACGGGCAGTCCCAGATCTGCAAAACCGCTTCACAGTGTATCTAGCACCAGTGTGTGTGTGCATGTGTGTGTGTACGTGTATGTGTGTGTTGTCCTAACATTTTCAATGCATTAAAGACACTGAAGGAACGATCAGCAGAGCTACACCGCGAAGCTTGGACAAACAGAAGGAAGAAAATATCAACTGGTGCAACAGGTAATAAATAAGGGGAATAATAGTTACTCAGACGGTTGGTGGTTATTGTGCCCAGCGGAGAGTTCTTCTTTACAAAAACAACAAACAAAAAAAGTCCACTTGGCCTCACATCCACGTACAAATATAAAACAATACATACAAGTGTTGGATGCTACCGTTAGAGGGGGATGTTCTGTGTAGCCCAGTTGTTCTTGCCTTTGTCACCATGGGAACTACAAGGGAAGTTCCCCAAGCAGGGTGTTCATTTTCCTGAAAGACACCTCGCACGGTCTCTCATTTAGTCAGATCCTCTCGGCATTCAGGGGATATCTTGGTATAGAGGGAGGGGCAGCCATGGGAAAGTATTCTTTTCCCCCCCATATATGAGATCCATAGTGTTCAAAAACATGAAGGGAAGGGGAAGTGAAGCAGGAAGAGGACGGAGGATGGGAGAACAAAAGGGTCCTCAGAATGATTCGTCATGCCCCACAGAGAGATCCCCTTTGGGGGTGGAGGCGCGCGACGAGCCCTTGTCCATGCTCTCGGAGCCTGAGCTCTGGTGCTGCTGTTCGGAGCCCGCGCTGGACGTGATGGTGGACGAAGATGTGGATGAGGAGCGGGTCTTCTCCTTAAAGTCCGTTATGATCACTGTCACGTTCCCGACGGTGATGGCCAACTGCTGGGCGGTACTCCGGTCGATGTTCTTCAGTTTGGGCCTGTGGGATGGAAACAAAAAACAAATGTAAATGTCAAAATAACTACACAAGCCTTTCTGCAACAGCAAGGGGGAGGCTTCCAGAATTGTGGGAGCATTTACACTAAATCATTGAATTTATCAGGTGAGAGTCAGAGCAGCTGCATCAAAATGAAAATGGAGGTTTGGTGTAAAAAATCATTCAGGAATCATTTGAGAGTTCCCAATTCTTTCTGATTTAAGAGTTTTCCTGACAACAACTGTCACCATGAGCTTTACCAAAGGAAAGCAAAACAACTAGGGATGCATGATACTGGATTTTTGGCTGATATCCGATATGCTGATATGTTAAAACTTATTTGGCCAATACCAATACTGATATTTTTCCCTAGACCTACTTACAGACTACATAGCTTTTTCTGTTGTGGAATTAATATAATACATTATTCTGAACGGTCTTTGTCAATTTGAGCTGCTAACAAATGCAGATGCCAAAAAGGGGGCTGAAAATGATGCAACACTACATAAATATAATATATATATATATAAAAAAAGTGCCTTTTATATCGTTGAGTTATTTTGATGGAATAGCTGATAGTCGATATTTAACTTTATCACTAATATTGACCGATACAGATATCATGCAGATAATATCATGCACCCTTAAGAACAACAAAAAGTTCTTACACACCTGGAATTGTGAGAGTTCTTGTTGGTCTTGGTTGCTGACTTCCCAGACTGTATGCTCTGTTTGTCACTGGGTGGACTCTGATGGTTGTCTGACTTGGGTCTGGAAGAAAACACAGGTGAGGATTCAGAGCAGCACAGCAAACATCTAGACACCAGTCAGAGCCCGATTCTGGGACCAACCTGTTTTTTTTGCTGCTTGGCTTCTTCGTAACAGCTGGACTGATGTCCTTCTCTTTGTCGGGTTTGTCTTGGACGGCTTGCTCGTTGTCACTCTTGTCCTTCTCGGGGGTGTCTCCCTCCAGCATCACTCTTTCTGGACGCTCTACCTCAGGGCGTCCCTCTCCACTGGCCGGCTCTCCTTCAACGAGCAGGCGCTCCTTCTCTGGGCGCTCGCTCCTCTCTCTCCTGTCCTTCTTGGGAGGGGGAGGCATCGGGTACTGCTGAGCCACCTGCTGGGCAACCAGCTGGGAGTTTATCCTGGGCTTCCTGAGGAGGAGACCCAAGAAACAAACATGGATCATTCTTGTAGTGAAATGGTGGGCTGAGTCTCGCCATGCATCAACACAGTAACACTGAAGCAAACAAAGGTGGCTGAATTCAAACACCAGAAAGGGAAAATAATTTCTGGTCCCAGCTGACACAAAGGTGGGTTTGAACAGCTGTTTCCTGGCAGAGTACCCCCGGTTATGGAGGCTGATCTCAGAACATCATGGCTGTAGTAAAATGAATGCACAGGATCAGAAGGTGGAACATTTGCAGCATGTCGCTTAGGTCTTTAATCTGATTACAGCAGGATTGGCCTTATTTGTCACAGACTGAGATTCAGTCAAACGTTGTGTTGCTTTCGAGCAACCACAGAGCCCTTAAACACGCACACCTAAACAATCCCAAACCTACTGTTTTAGGTGTGAACTGCCAATATACATATATGTGTGTGTGTGTGTCTTATGTGTGTGTGTGTGTGTCTTATCTCACTCAGCCTTATAACCTGTATCTCTCACTCTCTGCTCTTTGAATTGAGAAAGCTCCTCGGATGAGGAGCGAAACGTCTTCTGTTACAAATAAAGTCCAGTTGTTTTTGTATTGAACGCTTTTTGAATCCCAAGTCTTCTGTTTGAACCCCTATCAGCTCTGCAGGTGAGCAAAACCTTAAGCTAAGAGGCTAAAAGACAACTCCAAGTCTGGGTGTCTGAGCCATCACACACCTGCAACACACACCAGATGGCTATGAGAAACCTCACGGGAAGGATGACTGCACAGACTAAACTGCAACCAGCAACCAGCAACTGGCAATGTACAGTGACGAGTAAACATTTTGTACATTTACACAAACATAAACATGGGCGGCTGTGGCTGAGTGGTTAGAGCAGTCGTCCTCTAATGCAAGAGTTGGGGGTTCGAACCCCACAGTAGTCACATGCCGAAGTGTCCCTGGGCAAGACACTGAACCCCTCACTGCCTCTGATGCGTGTCCCATCAGTGTATGAATGTGATCTAAAGCTCTGATTAGTCTCTTTAGAGTGATTTGTTCACTTAGCTTTGTAGAGATCTAGTAGGGTGCTGTATGAATGGATAAATGAGGACACAGATTGTAGTGTAAAGTGCTTCGAGTATCTTGATGAGATAAAAAGATGCTATACAAGTACAGTCCATTTACCATTTACATAAACCTGAAACATGGCAGTGCAAACATGTCCACTCACCTCAGGCTGAGGGGATCCTATCAGGAAATTTATAAAAGCATAAACAAACTTTACAAAACTAATAGTAGTAGGGCTGCCACAAACATTTGTCAAAAATCAACACAATTCATTTTCAAAGGCCAAAGCCATTCAAGTATTTGAGTACTTCAAGCTACCAGTGCTTGACAAAGAAAAAAGTATATTGTATGATGAAATTTCCACAGGAGACGCATACAGGATCTGTAAAGAGCCAGCAGCAGAAAACTAAACCAAAACAAACACTTTGTTGCTTGAAGATGCTAACTGCTCTGTGTCAAGTCAGACTGGTCGTCTTTCTGCTACATTTTTCAGAGAACAAATGTTTGAAGAAACTTTCAGACCAGAATCTGAGCTCATGATTGTGTTGCTGGTCGTTGTGAACAGATGTTGATGTGGAAACATCTCAACACAACACCTGGCGTTTCAACAGGCAGGCTTCATGCAGCTTATCACACAATTTACTTCTGCCTGTTAACAGCTAAAGAACATTTAAATCAGACAAGTGTTGCATAAAACATGATTAAGTATAATTTGTATATGATAAGTGTACGCTAAGCTCAAAGAACATTTCATAACGTTACAGTTTAATTAATGCATTTTAAATAACTGTCATATTTCTGTCTCTTTCTGAGATAGGCAGTCGTGTGACTTAAATCCTGCAAAAGAACAATTTTTCACCAATTTGCTGCAGTTCTTCACAAAAGTGTCTTAAAATATGCTAAGTATATTGTTTTTATTTACTTTTTATAAACAAATAAGATAAGTTTTATGTATTTATCCTATAAGTGGAGTTGAGACTTTAAACTTACAATTTTGGGAGCAAAATTTGGTGTTTTGATTTATCATAAAAATAGTGAATAAATGAAGTAAACATAGTTGACATAGTCGACAGTGGAAATATTTCTGCATATGCAAAGTGAACAGGAGTGCAAACACTTTATGGTCAAGAAGAAAGTTCTTAAATTAAATAAATCTTTCTGTTCTGGACAAAACTCTCAAGATAAACCAGTGTAGCTGCTCCTTTTTGGTAGCCTCGCACATCTAATGTCAGCATTTGTCTGTCTTCTCTTTACCCTTCAGCTTCTTGTACAAATATTTTCTTAGCAGTAAATAAAACTTATTTAATCTCCTCCTGCAGTACACTGTTACACAGAGAAATGGCTCTCCTTGAGAAGGAGGAGGGGACAAGCAGCCAATCAGAAGGCAATCAATTGGGGTATAATAGAGTATCATGTTGTAACGCTTACACTACACTCCAATCAATACACCATCAGCAGCGCATCCTGATGAGCCTTGCTGTTGTTGATCCATTAGAAGCTGGAGCCTGGGGTTTATCCACCTGTTGGCCCTGTGTGAAGCACCCACGGGAGGTGTTCAGTGGGTGAGAATTGATGTGGGTGTGAAATATTCTATCCCCATGTTTATAAATCCCTCACCTTTCCCCATCAAACACATCCAGATTGAATTTTCAGCTCAGAGTAATGTTTCCCGTGTGGATTATTACAGGTTTTCATTCACTAACTTTTGTGATTTGAAGAATGATGCATCATCATACAGCATGAGCTTGAAACATCTTAAGCTGTAGTGGCAGAACTATATAATGTGTAAATGTGACAAATGTGCTAAATAAATAACAAAATAGATGGGTCATATTCTCTGTCTTAGCTAGTTGTTACATATAAACTAATACCATTTGTAAACTCACATAAACTCCACAAACTACGTTGTTTTGTTTTTTAAAGCTGCAGAGGAATCAGTACCAGACGGTTTTAAATTGATCAGTGATCCACCATCAATACTCAAAAATCTGACTTATATTTGCAGTCAGTGAATATGCTATAGCAAAGCCTCTATGTTGCACTAGCAGCAGTTTATATAAAAAAATTATGTGAGAGGGACACGTCCCCTTCACATATTATTGATGCAACACCTATACTATACCAAAATAATTGAAACACGGACTGGCGTATAATAATAAAAATTGGTATCAGCCAAAAAAAAAAAACTGAACTTGGAGCATCTCTAGTTGTTTCGTTACTTTTACCTGTTTATTGGCACAATGCTGTCTATGCACAACAGGAAGAATTCAGGAGGCCCTGCATTATCTACAAGCAATCTGAACAATTACAAAGTACTTAACACATGTTTAGAGGGTAAATACTATGAATACAGTATTTAACTTGACCTACATTCAAAAGACACTGTCAGAGCTACAGTGATAACATATCCTCATACACCCACAAAGTGTGTATGTGGGGAGTGAGGGAGTGATTTATCCACTGATTCACTTTTGCAGCTCCAGTCAGAGCCGAAGATTTGTGTCGGCAGCCGAGGCAGTGATGCTACTTCAGCTGTGATTCAGAGCTGAGTCAGCCTCGAGTTGCATCTGCCATAAGAAACCCACTGATGTTTATTAACGGGTCAAATATGATGGATTTTCACAACAATGTAAGCCTTTAACGCCTTTGTGGGATACTGAATAAACATGGCTGATGTCCCGTTAAAAATATGTTCTTCTATAAATAGCAGTTCATTCATAATAATCCTGCACTGATGAGCAAAGTATGAATTAATTAAATTACAATTTAGCTAAGACTTGTGCTGCAGCAGAAATATTTTTCACACACCCAAATCAAATAATCTCAACCTTTCTGAGCATGAGAAGTGCTGGAAATGATCATGGGAGCAGGACCAGCCTGGAGTACAATTGCAGAAATTGCTCCAACCTCATACTGTGGCCAAAATAATCCTGGTGTGTGTATGTGCATGTGTGCGCACACGCATGTGTGTGTGTGAATGGGTGAGTGAGTGAGTGAGAGAGAGAGAGACGTGTGTAAATCCTGCTGTTGAATCATTCCCCACTGTGAGGGCTTACAACATATTTACCTCCCCCTCTTCATAACAATAGGCCATGATTGACAGCTCCTTCAGTGCTTACCCCTAAATTCCACCATCTGGGGAGGGAGGAGCGGGTAGACTCCCTCCACGGGGCACCCCAAAATAACCATCATCTTGCTTAAAAGCTCCTAATTCAGTCAGACTGACACCCATGGTTCGATCGCTCCTCTCTGCCTGAGACAGCTGCTGCTTCTGCTGCCAAAAGCCGAAGCTACTGTTTCAGAGGGAATCCTTGGCATGGAGGCCAAAAGCAACGAGCTAGAGTGCTTCACAGAGCGACACAGTAATCAAGATATACATAGATAGATACAGATATATACATGTATATAGATTATGAAGGGAAGTCCTCATTAACATGGCTCTTTTATTTTGAAGTATGTGGAGGACAAGCAGTTATTTCCTGCCTGGCTGAATGCAGCAGCAGACAGCTGAGTGAGGACGAGACAACAATGTTCTCCACCCAAGCACGGCCTATAAAAAAACAATTTAAAGACACTCTCATCTCATTCAGAAATCAGTGCTACGCTGCAGAACCCAGTCTGCCCCTGAATCATTTAAAAACACACAGACCTGTGCAGGAACATCGCTCGTGATGACCTGGTTGGAGACCACATCGGAGCCTCGGCCTGGAGCACGTCTCAGATCTGGAGTGTGAGAATGCCTCAGGGCCTTAGATTTGATCACAGCAGCTCCCTGCGACGCGCTGGCAACAATCTAACTGACGATCAACAAGCATTCATCTGTGTCAACACTTGCTTTACGCCTCAGCCAATATGTAGAAACACACGATACGTTCCCCTCCCCCCTAACAGAATTGAGGATGATGGAGCAGATCGCAGAGCTGCCTGCGCTGCTTTGATTTTATTT